TAAGAAAATAAAGAAATTCCTATAGACTTAAAAGTTATTAATAACCTAAAATTATCAATAGGATAAAAACTATCAATAAGATAAATAAAAACAAATTAATTTCTCATTCCCTAACAGATACACTGAGCCATCAATAATTTTCTCAAGCTCTCTGCAAGTACAGAAAAGAGTAAGATGGAAAAGGCCAGATAATGTCTTCAAGAAATTCAGTTTAAATATACTGATTTCTAAGACAGCACTTGGATTACAGTGTGCATTTTTTTTTAATTTATGGGGGGAAGTATTTTACATCTGAAATTACTAAAATAAATTCACCTATTTCAAGAGACAATCGTTAATAAATTCAACAATCGGTGCTATTTAAAATCTGAGGGAAAGCAAATGGTGTCTAATTAATTTTATGATAGACATGAAATCTTCAAATAATAGTGTAGGAAAGTAAATGGATAGTAGGAAACACTTTATGAGATGGAGAAATGCCATGCACTAGAGGTAATGGTGAGATTCGGGTTGATGGCAAAGCTTCACAGATGTGTTTTAGTTTTCATTGCCTTTATCCTTCCAAGGTTTCCCTAGAAAAGACCATTAAATAATTTGATAGATATTTGCTTAATATCTGAAATATCATATTTGATTGTTTTAGTGGGTGTTTTTATGTTTTAAACATGAATTGATTAGTTTACATAGTAAATAGTTTGGGACTGAATGTGATAAAATATTTATATGCTTCATATTCTTGCTGAATGACTGAAAGAGCCACTAAATATCATTCCCGTTATTTAAAAATCTCTATAACAAAATAAGCCCCCTATCAACTTATGATATCCAACTAGACTACTAACCAGCTAATTTTCATTGATTACACAGGTCAAACTTTTGAGTTTACTTTAAAATGCTAAAATATTAAATATCAAATGATACACATTGACACCTATTTTATATAGAGTCTTGTGTATTAGACTCCAATGTCTTTCATTCATATTCTTGTAATTATATACAATTATGGTAACTGTGAAATACATTGAAGTACTGTAATTAAATTAATAGAATATACCCACACAATTCTATAATTATACTTGCATATCTATTTATAAAGATTTCTATAATCTATTGCTTTCTTATTGTTTCTAGTAAAACAAAGTCAGCTAAATTTAGGAAAATTAGTAGGCAATTTTTGGGTTTCATTTTGATTTACAGATTTCTATAAATAATTTTGATACCTCAACATTTCTATTAGGTTTTTTAAAAAAACATTCCAAAACTGGGCCTTAAAGTGATGGAATCTTTATGATTCAGATTTTTGCCATATTAACTAAACTTGATTTTTTTCCCAGAAAGAGGCTAGAAGTAAAGTGTGCTTTTATAAGTATGCACCCATAGTGTATGTGCAAATCCATGTTTTGAGGTGAAGGGGTGCTTTCTGCAGTTAAAAATAACAGAAGCAATTGCTAAGCAAGAAGAGAAGCATGTCCACTAATGTCTACTTTTACATTCTCATTGAATTAAAATATATGCTGGCAAGCTATAGCATAGAATAAAACCATATTATTATAAATAAATTATAATTTCATTTTGGATATATACCCAGTAGTGAGATTGCTGCATCAAATGGTGGTTCTAGTTTTGATTTTATGAGGAACCACTATAGTCTTTTCCATAATGACTGTACTAATTTACATTTCTATCAATGGGGCTCATGGGTTTCCTTTTCTCTACATCCTTGCCAATAGTTCTGCTCCTGGGTGTATATATCTAATGGAAATGAAATCAGTAGGTCAAAGAGACATCTGCACTCTTATATTCATTGCAGAACTATTCACAATACCCAAGAAATGGAAACAGTTTAAGTATACATTAACTGATTAATGGATAAAGAAAATGTGGTGCATATATGCAATGGAATACTATTTAGCCATAAAAAGAATGAAATCTTATCATTTGCAACAATGTGAATAGAACTGAAGATTATGTTAAGTGAAATAAGCTGGGAACAAAAAGTCAAGTATCACATGATGTTACTCACACATGGAATCTAAAAAAAATTGATCTCATGGAAATTGAAAACTAGAACAGTGAGACCAGGAAAAGTGTGTGTAGGGGAGCAGTATTATGAAATATTGATCAGTGGTACTGAGTTATGGTCAGATAGAAACAAGAAGTTCTGGTATGCCATTGCACGGTAGAGTGAATTTAGATAATAGTAGTATACTTTATGTTTCAAAGGGCTAGAAGAAAGGATTTTCAAAGTTTTAACAATAAAGAAATAATGTCTGAAGAGATAAATAAGTTTAACCTGATTTAAACATTATGCAATATATGCACGTATCAAAACGTAACTCAATTAATATGTATATTTAAATGTTTTATGAATCAATTAAAAATAAAAATATAAAAATATTTAAATTAGTAGAGTTAAAAGCTCAATAAAAAATTTCAAATTTATTTTACTTTCAGTCCTAGTCAAGTATTTTACCAGAGTATATGTGGAACAAATATTTATATCTTTTGTATTAAATTTTGGAAGAATTTATTCAAAGTAAAAATAGAAATTTTATTCATTTCATATTATTACCTTCTGGCTTGTTACCTGATTATCTTAGTTCTTAATTGTATTTTAATTTTAGTTTATTTGATAAATTACTTCTTTGGAAGGGGATCAAATGGTTAATCATATATACAATAAAGTTTAATCTATAGCATTATCTTTTCATTTTTTGTTTTTGCAGGCAATTTTAATATGGTCACTGGTGAAATTTCAGAGACCCACGTATGGTGAAATTTCATACCCTGACTGGGGAGTTGCTCTGGGCTGGTGTATGATTATTTTCTGCATTATTTGGATTCCAATTGTTGCTATCATAAAAATAGTTCAGGCTGAAGGAAACATCTTTCAAGTAAGCATATTAAATTGTAAAATACTTTATATAAATTATTTGTCAGAAAAATGAACATTAATTTACTTTATATGGCAGTAATATGAGATTATATGCAATTAAGCAATAACTCTTTTTTCTTACTACTTCTATACTTGATATAATCATCTGTTACTAGTACATTACATTGTCTCCCTATATTAGACTAAAAGCGCCTTGTGAGAAGTCTTGTCTGCTTGTTAGTGGATCATCAAGACCTATTACAATACTTAACATATATCAGTTAAGATAAATATAAAAAGCAAATGACTTGTGATATCTTTGGGATAACTCAGTACATTGTAGAAAGTCATTTGCTTTTTATATACATAATCTTTACTTTTTTCCCTTTATTTTATTTTTATGTGTTGCTGAGGATTGAACCCAGGGCCTCCCACATGCTAGGTGAGCTCTCTACCACTGAGCCACAACCCAGCCCCATAATCTTTACTTTTAAAGCCTCATCTGGTTATAACACAAATCCTAGTAGTGTGTTTAGACTGCAATAGGCCTGGTAAATTATCTCAAGCCCTATGTAGACCTTGAATCATCCTTTCTCCATGCAGGCTTAGCAGGTAGATTTGATTATGAATTTTTACTAGAACAATGACAAGGAGCCTTAAATTAAGTAAATCCTCTTACTAGAAGGATCAAAATTAATATTTAGACATTGGAACTTCCTTTCCTTTGTTCTTAAACCACATGCAACTATACACGAGTTTAGATAATCATTTCACCCTCACCTCAAAGCCAGATGGAAATCATGCAAATTCAGTGAAGGTAACTGTAAGTGAACCTGTTACTCTAATGAGCTCACATGCCTTCTGAAGTCATTTATATATTTGATTAGTTTGATTGTTAGTATGATTCTATTAACACTTAGGTAATGATTTATTTGATTGTAATTTCTTCTTAGACGGCATTATTGAGTATCTAACTTTTTAACTTGCTACTTAATTATTGTTAGCATAGAAACTTAAAAATTATAAATGAAAATATAGTTTAATATTCAGTACAATTAAGTAATAACAATTTATTTAATTTCTTCTTAGTAGACTGCATTATTAAGAATTTAGATTCACTTTTCAACTTTTCTATGACTCTTATTTCATTTTTTATCTTCTGGCTTGTTACCTGATTATCTTAGTTCTTAATTGTATTTTAATTTTAGTTTATTTGATAAATTACTTCTTTGGAATGGGATCAAATAGTTAATCATACATGCAATAAAGTCTAATCTGTAGTATTGTCTTTTCATTTTTTAATTTTTGCAAGCAACTTTAATATCGTCAAAATTAAAGTATAGTAAAATATTTGCTTGTTAGCAAGGAAACAAAATGTTAGAATTAAGTTATAGTTTAATATTTGTTTGCAGATTATAACACTTATATTCTAAGACAGGATTTTTTTTTCTCATTTCAGCGCATTGTAAGCTGCTGCAAACCAGCTCCTAACTGGGGTCCATACCTGGAACAACATCGTGGGGAGAGATATAAAAACATGGTAGAGCCTAAGAAAGAGATTGACCATGAAATACCTACTATTAGTGGCAGCAGAAAACCAGAATGAGACCTCATTTTAAAAAATGGTTGTTGTATAATGTGATTTTAGAGTAGGGGCAATTTTTATTTATTTGTATGTTACCTGAGTAGAAAAATATAAATGCTATGTTCACAATAGGGTAATAAGTATTTTTCCCCCTTAAGCAGGAATGTAATATAAAATGTGAATCTATTAATGTTTAACAATGTGCTTATATTTCTTTTAAGATTAGCTATCTGTATAATATGCACACAATTATTTCGCAGTGAAATTTTAAAATATTACCATAATGTTTTTCTAATACATTTAATGCTTTATTTTGAGCTGTTTCTGTTATGTAACTTTAAAATTATTATTTCTTCTATTTTCTTACCATACAACCTTTCTTTTTCACAAGTTGGGGGAATATCAGTGTATTTAAAAGGAAGTCTTACAAACTACTGGCCTCACTTAGAAACATCATAAATATGTGGAAAAATAACTATTCATATTATATAAAGATTATAGTTTAATGCTTTTGATCCAAATATGTCTAAAATCTTCATGCATTTATGGCTCATGTTTTCTATGTGAACTTATTGACAGGACAGGAGAAATAAGAATTCTTTGACCAGTAAGGGATAAATATAGAAAGTGGAATACAGGTTTCCTTATATTCTATCTTCCTTCTTTAGGTTGTATATGGAAGAAAACTATGACACATCTAATTTCTATTGTCTAGCAACATTAAGAGTTCATTATATTCTCTGAATATTGGTTTAATTTCACATAAAATATGGATCAAAATATTAATGAGAAAATGGTTTTACTCAAAATTTGCATTTAATAATCATGATATATGGCTAGTCTTATGTGAGTAAGTTAGTGATTATGGGTGATAATTACATATTTACATATTAATAAGAGATAAACTTGTCCAAAAGGAAGATTCTATATCCTGGTTTCCTTACTATTGTTAATGAAATAGATAACTAACAGCTTTATATTTTGATTATATTTCATTGAGAATTGGTTTAAACATCATAGACTAGGAAAATCAACAATGCCTAACGATACAAGGAATTTCTCAGCAATTTTTAAGATTTTTTTTAACAGGCTTGAGGGAATTATGGCACTGAAATTATATGTAACATCATCTGTGTGATGTAGACATGCATTTTTTTTTCCGTAAGGAGAGTCTGTAGTTTTCATCAGAGTACCAAAATGACTTAGAAATCAAAAAATTTTAAGAATCACAAATGCTGCTGCTGGTTTTTATGCTTGGCAAGTGACTAACACTAGAAGGAATTTTTTCCTTTTCTTTTTTTAGGAGTAGTTTTTCTTATACATTTTAAATCCCTTTTCCTTTCAATTTAAGATAAAGGAATAAGGTATTAAGGTATTTCTTTAATTTATACTGGTAATTTATTTTGAGGGAAGGGGGCATCAAGGTAAACAGGCCTGCAATTAAACCATATAAATGAATTATGTATAAATAATATCAGTGAATTATGTACATATGGATAATGAACTCACATTTGATATCTTGAGTGTTTTCTTTGAGGTAGGTCAGATGATGTTAGAAAACTTCAAGAGATAAATTCCTTAGCTAGACCAGATTTTGTAAAATATTATTTGAAAGAGATAACTGAGTAGTACTTAGAAATACTTTTTCATATTTTTAATCCACATTACATTACTTGCATGCTACCACTATAATTTGGTGCTATTTGAGGTGCAGATTTTTCACCAAAGAGAAAAATGCATGGCATTTTCTATAGGTGACTTGCAATTCAGGGAAGATTTTGGCACATTTTAAATAAAAGAATATCTAATTGGGAGAGAGGATATATGAAGTGGAAGCAATCCTTTTCAAAAGTTGACCACAAAGACTAGTTAAATGTTTGTCACTATCTTCACAAGATCTTAATGAAGTTCTTGGCATATTGTAGGGTGCCCAATGATAGCTCTTATTATTATTACACAGATTCAACAGTGGCAAGAAACAGTATTCTGAATAATAGAAACTAGTTCCATCGAATTCTACTTACTTTAATTCCAGCATGGAGATAATTGCAGTATTATGCTGTAAACCACTAGAGAAAACTGTTTTTCACTCTTGAATGAAATTATAATCACTATATCTCAACTATTTTTTGAATGTAGCTTATTGTAAAAAAAAAAAAAACTTTTGGACTGATTTTCTTACTGTATTGTTCTTCCATTCCTTCCCCAGTAAAATATATTTTATCAAGTACATGTAATCAATTCTTTAAATAAAATATGAGTAAGAAAATCAATAAATGTTTGGATTTTGTATCTGACTTGATATCCCCTTCCCTTTTAAATAATAATTCATTTGGTATAAACACATAATCAAATGAATTCACTCAAAGTGTCTTTAATGATTTCTTCCACTGTCATTACATCTTGTAACCTTTTCAGTGGATTCCTGCTTAAGTAATGCACCAGTTATGCCCTTGATAATTAGGAAATGTTCCAATTCAGCCAGCTTGTATTCCACGATCCTGAGGTTTACCAATATTCGCTTCTGTATTGCTATTGAGTGTGGGAAATTATTTAAGATATCCAGAGAGAGGTTGTTGACTGAAAGACTATCAGTATTGCTCCTAGGTGACCAAGAAGGAGAAGTTCTTACTAGTGCAAGAGAAGTCGAATTTGATGATGTTTCACCAGTGTTTCTCTGTAAAGGAAATTATACATATGTAGTTTATTGATTGTAGTAATTTCCAAATACTACCAAATAACAAGTTAGTTACAAAAATGAACTGACCTCCCCTAAGAGAGATTAAAAATGTGTTGAATGACCACATTGATTCAAAATATGTTCTGCCCAGATAGACTGAGAAAAAAAAATATCAAAGTAGCCTTGTTGCTCCAAAGTGCTATATGCTTTTGCTTACACTTCTTGGGCAGTCCAGTGGGTCTACATGTAGATGCTGTCTTTGACCCTTATCTAAAAGTACTTCATTTGCAACTTGAAACCAGGAAGTCCATATTTAAACATGAAACACTGGTAAATGTCCAGAAAGCTCCCACAACGATGGCAGGAGAAGCAAACAGGAACACGGGGGTTGTAGAAATAAGAGAAGAAAAAGAAGTAGTTACAGATTCTTAAAATGGGTCATGGTGGTGGGGAATGGGAACTTTTAACTACACATTTCTTTCCAAGTGGGTAGAAAGGTAACTATATCACTTAATGATTTGGAGCTATTTTATATCAGTCCACGAGGCGAATCACTGACCAAAATGCGGGAATTGCGGAGGATGAGGATCAGGAAGAAATAAAAGTCTGGAGCTTTGTGGAGAGAAAAGAGGAATGATGACATCTCCCCTTAATTCTTATGTTATTATCTTTCTAGAGTTTTGCAAACATACTCCCTGATCCACGTATTCACCTAGCTTCATCTAGGTCCAATCTCTTACATACATACACCTTTACCTGATGTCGTTTTTTCCATAAGACAATCAAAAAGGCGAAAGTAACGCAGCTCAGTAGAAGGAAAAACGTGCTCATGGTTCTTCCTTGTCCACTTCTCTTTTCTCAGGACAGATGCACTCAGCTGGCAGTTGGGAATCGGGGGCCGGTAGCCACCCGGCCGGTGGAAACCACGGGCCAGAATGGTAGGTGCCTCTCACTACCTGGTGCGACTGGGATACGCAATTCCATCGAGCTTTATGTACTGGGATGGTGTGAGACCTCATAATCGGTACGCATGCACGTGGGAGTAATACACCACAATCTGATGACGTAAAAACTAGCCGTCGGGAAGCCAGGAGGCACCTAGCAACCACTCACCTTGTTACTGTCTCAGGTCATTAGGAGAGTGAGAAATAATGAGGGAAATTGTGATTTCCAAGAATTTGAACCATTATAGATGTACAGACTCTAAATAGACTGGTTAAATATATGATATAAACAATGCTCTTCCCTCCTTTTTTCTTCAAAGTATGTCTTTCCTGCAGCCACTCCAAGTTTCATTTCAAAAAGTTCAGGTCTAGTGTGGTGGTGCATGCCTATAATCCCTGTGACTTGGGAGGCTGAGGCAGAAGGATCATAAATTTGAAGCCAGCCTTAGCCACTTAATAAGTACCTAAGCAACTTAGCAAAACCATTTCTCAAAAATAAATAAATAAATAAATAAATAATAAACAAACAAATAAATAAAAGGGCTGGGGATGTGGCTCAGTGGTTAAGCACCCCTGTGTTAAATCTCTGGTACAAAAAAGTTGAAGAATAAGTTAGAAATGCACGGTAAAACATAGTTACCCACAAATTGTAAGTCACTGACATAAAAAGTACCTCCTCCACACTTCCTTTGCTATTTTAGGACTCATTCAAACCCCAGTCATATTGCAATAGTTAAATACATGGTTTTTAAAATGTTATGGTTTAAACAGTGATTTTAGGCACATTTCTGTATATAAAACCTCATTGTAAGTTTGTATTAAAGGTATTTTTAATACCAGGCCTTTTTATTTGTAAATGAGGGAAAGATTCAGGTTTAAACTCATTCATAGCTAGTAGAAAAACAGGAATGCTTGGAGTTTTGAGTTCTGAGATAAACTCTTCCATTCCTTCACTCTCATTCACATCCCCCAAACCTCCATCTCCACTCTGAGTTGAGTTGTGTACATCAAATATTTAATATTTTCCAACAAAGAATTGAAGTGTATTTTGATTAGCATTAATGAGAGGCAACAGACACAGGAGTCATTGCACTAGAAATGTTAGATGTGTTCAAGAAATTTATTTAAATGTGGAAGAAAACACTAAAGAACGAGAAATAAAGACAATAACCAGGCAATCTCAGGGTGAATGTTAAACTTTAAACACTAACTCTGCTTGAGGAACAATTCTCACCTTCATATTGGTAGGAAGGAAAGGAATTGCATTTCATAAAATACTATTTTCTAATGATTGGTTCAAAGTTTAAAGTTTTATTAAATCAACAAATATCTACCTAATACCTATGTACTGGGCACTGTGTTATATTCTGGGAATAGGATCGTGTGCAAAAATAAAGTCCACCTGGAATGTATGCTCTAGTATGGGAGACAGATATTAACCAAATACAGAAATTAATGTAAAACTGCTGGAGTATGAATGATAGCAAGAAGTACATGGTGGCATGGGAACTTATAAGATATGGAATGTAAATAAGAGTAAGATCCTGGCTTTATGGTTTAATCAATTGGGTGAAGTAACCAAGTATGAAGTTGCTGATCATGAATTTGGTTTGGGACATGTCAAGTACGAGCAATTCAAGTCATGAAACATTTGATCTCAGAGAAATAATTGAAGACATGAATTTGTTAGTCATCTGCATGTTCATGACAACTAAAACTCTAGATATGGAAGAGATTCCCTAATGTTACTGTAGGATGTGCAAATAGAAGTCAAATTAGAATAGAGCCTCAAAGGATTTCAATATTTAATAACTTGGTAATAACACTTCTATTGGTGTGCTATTATGATTGTCTTGAATCTAAATTTCTTGTTTCACTGAATAAAATTGAATGAAGCCCACTAATCTTAATCAACAGAATTTTTAATTTTGATTGTACCAATATCCAAAGGAAAACTTCAGATTTCTTGGAAAGTGATTGTGTTTGTATGTGTGTGTGTGTGTGTGTGTGTGTGTAGTGTAATGTTTGGTTAAAAGACTAAAACTTTTAACCAATTAAAGTGTAATGTTCTGTGGCAATACTTACATTTGTATCATTGTGTAAACATCACCACTAACCATCTTTAAAACTTTTCATCTTCCCCAACTGAAACTCAGTATTCATTAATCCATTTTTTTTCTCATTTTCCCAGACATGGAACAAGTATCAAAATTTAAATTGAGCAACAAATATAACATTGATGTTAACTTTGAATAAATAATGGGTTTAGAGGTCTATTCTTTTGAGAAAAGTAATTAGTGAAGTGTTAGAGTGTTTGAACACACACACAAATGTAGTGAATGTATCTGAATCTTTTTCCTCATTTGTAGAAAAAAAGGCTTGGTATTAAAAACACCTTTAGTACAAACTTGTAATGTACACACACACAAATATGTGTGTGTATGTGTGTGTGTGTGTGTGTGTGTGTGTGTGTGATTCACAGCCTATTTTAAGCCACCCATGTCAATTTCATTGACTTATTCATAGAATTGAAACCTTAGGACTTACAAGTTGAACACTAACTTCCTGTTCTACTCTCCCACAAGTCCCTAACAACTAGCCTTCTGCTTTCTGTATTTTGCTTTCTGTATCTATTAATTGGACTACAATAACTACTTCATATAAGTGAAATTGCATAATATTCATATATCTCTGAATGGCTTATTTCATTTAGCATGATATATTCAAGGTCCACCATGTGGCACATGTCAGAGTTTCTTTTTAAGACTGAATAATATTCCATTATATGTATATGCTATGCTTTGCCTTATCCATTCATCCATCTATGGACACTTGGGTTATTTACATGTTTTAACTATTGTGAATAATTCTCCTTTGAACATGGACATAAAAATGTCAACCATGTTAGTAGGTTTTGTGTTGAGTTGTAGGAGTTTTTATATGGTCTAGATATTAATTTGACATCAGATATATGATTTGCAAAGTAACCTTATTGTAGGTTACTTTCTCATTCTATTGATCATGCCCTTTAATATACAAAAATTTATCTTTTTTTGATAAAGTCCAACTCCTTTTTTTTCTTTTTTATTGGTTCTTTTTATTTTTACATAATAGTAGAGTCTATTTTGATAAATTATACACATATGGAATATAACTTATTCTAATTAGGGGCCCAGGCTTGTGAATGTACAGGATGTTGGGATTCACTGTGGTGTATTCATATATGAACATAGGAAAGTCATGTCAGATTCTTTCCACTGTCCTTCCTATTCTTATTTTTTTAACCTTCATTTTATTTATTTATATGTGGTGCTAAGGATTGAACCCAGTGCCTCACACATGCCAGGCAAATGCGCTACCACTGAGCCACAACCCTAGCCCCTGTCCTTCCTGTTCTTTTCCTTCCTTCCTTCCCTAAATTGCCCTTTGTCTAATCCTCTGAACTTCTATTCTTCCCCTTCCCCATTATTGTGGGTTAGCTTCTACATGTCAAAGAACACATTCTCCCTTTGGTTTTGGGGATTGGCTTATTTCACTTAGCATGATAGTCTCTAGATCCATTTACTGGCAAATGTCATAAAGTCACTTTTCTTTGTGGCCGAGTAATATTCCATTATGTATTTATACCACAGTTTATTTATCTCTTCATCTGTTGATAGGCATCTAGGTTGGCTCCATAAGTTAGCTATTGTAAAGTATGTAGATATAAATATTGATGTGGCTGCATTACTGTAGTTGCTGATTTTAAATCCTTTGAATATATACTGAGGAGTGGGATAATTGGGTCACATGATGGTTCCATTCCAAGTTTTTTGAGGAATTTCCATACTACTTTCGGGAATGGTTGCACCAATTTGCAGTCCCATCAACAATGTATAAGTGTACCCTTTTCTTCACATCCTAGCCAATATTTATTGTTATTTATATTCTTAATAATTGTCATTCTGATTGGAGTGAAATAAAATCTCAGTGTAGTTTTAATCTGCATTACTCTAATTGCTAGAAATTATGAACAGTTTTTTTCATATATTTGTTGACAATTCATAGTTCTTCTATGAAGTGCCTGTTCAGTTCCTTTGCCCATTTATTGATTGGGTTATTATTTTTTTGGTGTTAAAGTTTTTCAATTATTTATATATACTGGAAATTAACACCTTATCTGAGGTGTGGTTGGCAAAGATTTTCTTCCATTCTGTAGACTCTCTCTTCATGTTCTTGATGGTTTCCTTTGCTATAAAAAAGCTTTTAAATTTGATACCATCCTGTTTATTGATTCCTTTTTTGGTACTGGGGAGCAAATCCAGTAGATTTAACAATAGAGCCATATCCCCAGCCTTTTTTTGTAATTTATTTTGAGACAGGTTCTCACTGAGTTACTCAGGGCCTTGCTAAGTTGCTGAGGCTGGCTTTGAACTCATGATTCTTCTAATTCAGTCTCCTGAGCTTCTAGGATTACAGGTGTGTGCCACCATGCCTGGCCCATTTATTGATTATTGATTTTACTTCTTTCAATTTAGGAGTCTTGTTGAGGAAGTCAGTTCCCAAGCCAACATTATGGAGTTGGGTCTACATTTTCTTCTAATAGGTGCAGGGTCTCTGGTTTAATTCCTAGGTCCTTGATCCACTTTGAGTTGAGTTTTGTGCAGGGTGAGAAATAGGGGTTACGTTTCATTCTGCTACATATGGATTTCCAGTTTAGCCAGCACCATTTGTTGAAGAAGCTATCTTTTCTCCCATGTATGCTTATGGTGCTTTTATCTTATATGAGATGGCTGTATTCATGTGGGCTTTTCTGTGTGTCTTATTTTCTCTTCCATTAGTCTTCGTGACTGTTTTGATGCCAATACTATGCTATTTTTGTTACTATAGCTCTGTAGTATAATTGAGGGTCTGGGATTGCAATGCCTCCTGCTTCACTTTTCTCACTAAGGATTGCTTTGGCTATTCCGGGTGTCCTATTTTTCCAGATGAATTTGATGATTGCCTTTTTTGTTTCTATGAAGAATGTAATTGGAATTTTAATAGGAATTGCATTAAATCTGTATAGCACTTTTGGTAGTA